GTTTTGGTACCAAATGGCTCTTTCCAGGGTCCTGGCCCATGGAGCCTCCCACCAGTTGGGATTTTTAACAAGTTTCTGTTTAATTTACAATATTTGTTTGTTTATTTCAGTGCCCACAATTAATACGGCCGTGCTAAACAATTTGACACTTAAAGAAAGTGATTTACTTATTCTATTTTTTGTTTGTTTACTCCTTTGATGTTTGCCGGGCTTCATAACCAGAGTCTCCTCTATTAACTATGACCAGACTAAACATTTTTATAGCGAGTGTGAACACAGCACGAGACAGATATTCTGAGCCAGCTGGGTGCAATAATGCAAAAGGTTTTTTTCTGCCAAATGAGGGGGGCAGTTATTATGCCCTCCACTCTATCTCTGCGACATTCCGCCCCCAAACATGCCAACTTTTATAAAGAAATGTACGCTAGTGGGCTACGCTTGCCCACTGGCATACATTTCTTTTTAAATATTGGCAAGTTTTGGCTCCCATATTTTAGAGTTTACAACGGATTCTTACGAAACTTCGTGTATATATTTACTACTAAATTTGGCGCGATCAATAGAGCGAGTTAAGGCTTACTTTTGTTTCAATGAACAAATCGGAAAAGCGTGACATCGGTTCAAAGGTCTATTGAAGCACGGCTCCTACGAACGAATAAAAAAAACATCTCAACAAAGTACTGCTCAGTGTTATTATATTAATAATCGCTAATACACTACAGTTTCATCGACAGATTTTAAAACTACAACTCCTCGCAACAGTGAAAACAGCTGAGCCGTCAACGAAGACTAATCGACTTTAGGTTGAGCCGCTTGACCCTATAGCAGGAACTTCATGTTGTTGGGTGCTAATGAACACTACGACACTTATGAAGCTTATGATCGAGTTCTTACTGTATCATTAACAGCATACCTTGTTTTGCTCGTTCGCAGAGCTTTCATAGCATCCTAGCTAATTAAAGACGAAGTACGTTTACAATCCATAGGCATGTTCATCATTACGCGTTCAATACTCAGCAGTATTCTTGGTAATGGAGTTTACATCTCTTGCAAGTATCTAGTCAGAGGTTCTCCAGTACGAAGGTGTGCTTCGTAAGCTTCCAGCCATATCAATCCTTTCATAATAACCTGGTATAGTGTGTTGTCATCGCGCCACAAGTCTTGTCGAAAGTGGCAGATAATAGTAAGACCATCTCTGGTCCCCAAGGTGTGAAATGCTGTACCACCTACGTTCAGCAAGGAACCATCTCTCTTCCGTAAACAAGACGGGGGAGAACTCACAACCATCTGCGGACAAGAATTCGGGTAGTCTGAAGGAAGATATACTCTGAGTGTATACTCTTTGTTGTTGGTGCAAGTTACTCTCACTTCAACCCTTGTGTCGCCAGTTGGATCAGTCCATGAAACCCTGCCACGGAAGTACTTCTCCAGTAATTCTTTCTCGAAACCGAGCCTTCGCTGCTGCGTTGCTGACCACGGCATGACGAGAGGACAACGACAGTTTGAAATCTGACGTGTAGCCTTCTAAAACGAACAGAAATCGCGCAGCTATACAATAGCGAATTCCGTGGTTAAGAAAGTTTTAACTCGCCTTCGTGTTTTTTTTTTTTTTTTTTCGCCTACTAATCATATTCCCACTTTCCCGGAAATTGGAGCATGCGTAGTTGACAGATTGTTCTGAAAATAACAACATCCGTAACTGATGACTGGAACGCCGGTAACGCCACATTCACACTTTTATTTGGGGAAAAAAAATAAATTTATTAATGACAACAATGAATCGAAGCTGTCATGACCTTCGTCTAGGAAGCAGCTTTAATAATTACTCCTTGCGAGGAGCATAAAATTTACTGCTAATTGCTGGCTCAGTTTGAAGACTTCTAGTAACGGTGCAAAACAATTCCAATGCTGCGGTTCAGTAAGATGGATAACCCTGCAATATCTTCTGTTTGGAAAATAAACCAAGGCGAGTCATTTAAATTCCAGCTGTGCTATGAATTTAGCACAGCGTTCTCTCTATATATTTCACGAAGATCACGTGAGTTTCTAAGAAAAACCGGTAGTTATTGATTTAGGTATGCATGATCGAGTGATGCAGGGAAAACAGTCTTTTTTAATTTAATCAAATAAGCTCTTATTCTTTAATAAATTTTAGATTGCTACCAAAC